AGCTTGTCAGTAACAGAGGAAAGTTGCAAAGGAAGTCTATATTTTCCCTCCCCTTTGTCAGAAGAGATAGAACCTAGCAGGACCACACAAAGTGCCATATGGTGTTCATCTTACTGACACTGAAGGGTCCTCATTGCATTAGTCACTCCCAATGAGTCATTGTGTGAAGATGAAATATGAGTGTCAACAAAGCCCACTGTAGTTTTCAGAGATAATATTTTGTTCTAAATGAGAAAATGACCACAACCTCTGATCTATCTAGCTCACGATTTTGATCCCTGCAAATCTAATCTTTGGTTTTGCTGACACTTTTTTATCCTGTCAGGGTACTGCACAGTGGGCAGAAAATCAACTTACATAATGATGAGGAAAGAAACATCTACCTGTTACATTTTTTCCTGTCTTGTTTCTGGAAAACTGTCAAGGAAAAAATAGCATCAAACCTACATTTTGCTATTAGAATTGATACTATTTATTTTTAGATGAACATAAGACAGCACACATTTTTCATTATGTTGCCTTAAAAGATGTTGGAATGTAACCAGTATTAAATCTGAAATATAATTAACATAGACTATGTCAAATTTATATTTATTTGCTTTGAGTTGAGAAACTGTCATTATATAAACATCTTTTTGGATAATAGTTATTTTTTCCCCTAAACACCTACCTCTCAAGGGCTTTCTGCCAGACTTTTTATAAAATATGAGCCAACCCAAGTATCACTTTAGCAATAGCAATAGTACTTAGACTTATAGTGCTTCGTAGTGCTTAACAGCACTAAGCAGTTTACAAGGGCAGCATATTGGCCCTAACAATCTGGTTCCTCATTTTACCGACCTTGGAAGGATGGAAGGCTGAGTCAACCTTGAGCCAGTCAGCGTTGAACTCCTGGCAGTGGGCAGAGTTAACCTGCAATTCTAACCACTGTGCCACCATATTTCACTTCAGTCACATAGATGGGCTCTACCAAAAAAAAAACCAACTCCATTTGGATTGTGATTATCCACCATTGTGGTCCTGTCTGAAGTAATATACTCATACTAATAATGCTGCCTAAGGAGATGTGTGACTGAGGCATAAGGTCTTGCCACATGAACTATCCAAACAACATCCTAAAATAATTTTCTCTACTTGGTGCCCTCAAAATATTTCAAGGATATTAATTCATCACCATTCTTGACCATCAAGCTATATGACATTTGAACTACACCACTGAAGTAACACTTGAATTAATCCTGGATGAAAAACCTGCTTAAACTGCAGGCAATTTCAGTCCATCTCTACCAATATTCACATGTACATGTGGATTGCAGTGTGATTTTAGCAGATACAGTAAACTAAAGAATGAGCAGGTTTGTAACAGAAGTTGCATCAAGGATAACTGCATAAAACAAGGTAGAACTCTGTTCTTCACATTTTTCTTGACTTCAAATAATAATAATAATAATAATAATAATAATAATAATAATAATAATAATAATAATAATAATAATAATAATAATAATAANGAAGTTGGAAGGGACCTTGGGGGTCATCGAATCCAACCCCCTGCTCAGGCAGGAAGCCCTACACTATTTCGGAAAGATGGCTATCCAGTCTCTTCTTAAAAACTTCCAGTGTTGGAGCATTCACCGCTTCTGGAGGCAGGTTGTTCCATTGGTTAATTGTTCTAACTGTCAGGAAGTTTCTCCTTAGTTCTAGGTTGCTTCTCTCCTTGATTAGTTTCCATCCGTTGCTTCTTGTCCTGCCCTCAGGCGCTTTGGAGAATAGCTTGACTCCCTCTTCTTTGTGTGTACTCATATGTGTAATAATGTGTACTCAGTTGACTCATTTTTCTGCATTCACACAGCACACTAAACTATTATGGTTTGGGTTTCACAAACAGGCTAAGCAAAAATGTGCTTGATTAATGTGAGATGGCTTATATAAAATTTGTTTCGTATTTCTTGCTCCCATATAATTAAACAGTCGATATGAGTCACTTGCTCAATCTCTACAATATTATCTGAAAAGAAGGAATCCCTTTGAGATTCATCTTGCAGTCAATTCTTAAGCTCTACTTCGAGAAGCATGATTTGGCACCAGAAAGAAACCAGAAAGCTGCCATTATATGAAAGAATGCATTAAGACATAAAAGTAATGTTTTAATTTATTTGGGGAAATGAAACAAAGACAATAATCATCAATGAATTCTGATGGAGACATGCACTCTGTTGAGATATAAAAAAAGTGACTGATAAGCTTTCAGTTCATGGATTTACTTTATTGGTAAAATCTTCATCTCTTTTTTTTCTCTTTCTTTCTTTCTAACCTCTTCTCTGCTGTCTGCCTCCCACTCACTCAGCTGCAGTTTGGCTGTTGTCCCCAGCACAGATCCTCTGGCAGCTGTTTCCTTTTAAAAAACATTCAGCCTGCACCTACCTTCAGAGTGCTTTATCACTTTTAATAGCAGCTGAAGTGTCTTAAAGTTTCCAGCTGCCAGCCACATCTTCAAGATAGCAGCTGGACATGAGCTCCATTGTGACTCTGTCGTAGCACATCCAATATTATTCTGAATGCAGTGAAACTCATGCTTTGGAAGAGCATTACAGAATCCTTTAGTATGTTAAATTCCATGTAACAGCATTCTCATATAAATGCTCTTTTGTACTAAGACTTGCATTTTCCAATTGTGGGGTTTTTATAGTTTGGAGTTTCTACCCAAGAAATAGCACTTATGAAAAGGGAAACATGCCTTGGCAAATGTTGGCAATGGTAGAGTAAAAAGCTGTTACGCTGCCACTTCTTTTCATTCTTAAGCTATGCAATGTGAAATAATATGCTTACACTCATGCTCTCACTCAGATTTGCACAACATTAGGGTGAGGTTTTCTGCTCTCATTTGCATGACATCTACACCACCTTAGGAAAGACACTAGCTTCTGGAAAGAGGAAAAACCTTCAAGAAAGAAGGGAACTGCAGATTTATCAGTTATTCCAGTGGTTCTCAACCTGTGGGTCGGGACCCCATTTGGGATCGATCGACCATTTCACGGGGGTCGCCAAGCAAGGCTGTCCACCATTTTTTCCCCTTTTCCGGCAGGTACCTTACCTCCCTTGGGCTGGGCCAGCTGGTGGTCGGCCTGCTCCGTCTCTGCCACTTGCCAGCTACGCCTCAGCCGGCGCAGGGGGCGGAACCACGCATGCACGGCGCTCCCGGGCAGGGAAGGTCCTCGACTTACGACTGGTTTAGTCCTCGACTTACGACCGGTTTAGTCCTCGACTTACGACCGGTTGGGGTCACGGCATTAAAAAGGTTGAGAACCACTGAGTTATTCTATATTTTTATACTAGCTACACCCGGCCACACGTTGCTGTGGCTCAGTCTGGTTAAATGGAAAAGAAAGAAAAGAGAAAGCGCACGTTTGTGTCACAGGTGTGACATCTATATAATAGTGGGTATATAAAAACATGCGCGTATTCGAATGCAACGTTGTGTCAAAATTTCAAAGCAATCGGTGAAGAACTTTCGGAGATTTAAGATTTTGAACAAACAAACATTTACATTTTTATTTATATAGAAGATTTTGGCCTAAACCAACCCCCCCCCCATATCATTAGACCAATTTGATCTAGTGGTTATTAATCAATTTGATCTAGTGCACCAGCCTAGAAACCAGGAGACTATGAGTTCTAGTTCAGAGGTGTCAAACTCGCAATGTCACATGATGTGTCGTGACGTATCGCAACTTTTTTTCCATTGCTGGCAATGGAGTGAACGCGGTTTCGCCATGATGCACCTGGCCTATGGGCCGGCAGTTTGACACCCCTGTTCTAGTTTCAGTTTAGGCATGAAAGCCAGCTGGGTGACTTTCTGGGCCAATCACTCTCTTTCAACCCTTATGTAGTTGCTGTTATTGAAGAGCGAGGAGTATTAGGCTCCATTTGTGCCTTGAGTTATTTATAAAAGCAATAAAGGCAGGAAATAAATAAAATAAAACCCATCAATTCAATTTTTAAAAAAAAAAAAATTAAATGCTACTATAAATAGTAAAGCAGCAAGAAATTATCTCCATTTTAATTTATGAGACAGAGCTAACCATTCCAGGGAAATATTTGCATATGTAAATATTTGCAACAGCCACCATAGTTTGGTGTGACACCATCCCCTGTTCACTGGACTTTCTCCTCCCCTTTCATCTAGCTCAGGGGTAGTCAATCTTGGCTCTTTTATGACTCGTGGACTTCAATTCCCAGAATTCCTGAGCCAGCTTAGCTTAGCTGGGTCAGGAATTCTGGGAGTTGAAGTCCACGAGTCATAAATGAGCCAAGGTTGACTACCCCTGATCTAGCTGATGCTTCTTACAGATCAAGTCACAAAGTATTGTTTAGTATTATACAGAAAATACTGATGGAGCTCAGATTAGGAGCAAAATACAGCTTTGCCTGGGGAAGATCCTATGTTTAATGTTTGTAATTTCTACTTTTAAAAGACCTCAGGCCACAGAACTGGAAAGGCTTCTCCAGATACTCTTACAAAATTATTACCGTTGCTCAGAGAAGGCCATACTAAGTCAGAGTACATTCAGAAAGAGAGCTAAACATCACTGCATCTTTTCTACACCCCACCCAACATTGTAATTAAATTGTATAGATTGCTTCAGCTTCTTTGCTTTATTACTTCTGGTATGCAATTCCACAAGGGGAAGATTAATGCAGGAATAGGTATTCATATAATCTCTAAAATGCTCATTTATTTGGTTTTATGTTTACCCTGACTTTGCACCAATAAATGGCATTGAAGACAGCCATTAATTAAACACTGAGTCATGATTTCCCATTAGATTATATATAACCAGACTAAGGCAGCCTTCACCAGCATTAGTAATTTTGCATATAAGCAAGAGAAAGGCAGCTGAAATAAATCATTAGTTATTGTCACTGAAAAGATTGAAATCATAAAAAAATAACCAAAATTCCTTACATGCATGTACTTTCCTAAATTAAGGTAAGTTTACCTTTCCAAATTTGACTTCAATGCAATTTTCTTTAAATTTCTCCTGTAAAGTCTCTGCTAGCTGACAGAGCAAAGCACCATTATCCAATTTCTCCATGAAGGATTCAGCTGTTATTTCTTTTCCTGAAAAAGACACAAAAGGAATACCAATCAGCACCAGCGTTGTGGATTATTCATTCTGTGAAAAAACATGATTGCACTGTGGATTTTGTTTGTATCAAATTGTGATTGCTCCCTGCTGAAGAAATAGATCCCACATTATAACTCACATACTCATTTGTCCTTTAAAAAAAAAAGATGGCAGAGACTTTATTGGAAGAAAGCTATGGTCAATGAAGTCAAAACATATTTAATTTCATGGCTGCCAATCTGTATTTCTCCCACAGCAGTTTATGGTAACACTGAAGAGAGTTGTTCTAAAGTTTAAAAAACATGTAGCCAATGTAGTAGCATCACATACTGAGACACCTCTTATAAATGCAGATGATTGCAATGCCAAATTGGCTGAAAAGATATGTTTCCATAATCTAAATTTAGCAGTTTTCCTTTAGGATTTGAGGAGGATGACATTACATTACAGCACCAGTCAAAAGACTTATGATTAAACTTGATGAGAAGATATTGGAAGCAACAACCAATGGATTGGATGTCATTTACCTTAATAAGCTAGGGGATGAGAGTGGTGGAAGTATTCAATATTTTCCGGAGCAGAAAAAGAATATTTTGCTTATTCAGGTTTAATAAATGTTATAGCTCTATTTAATCTTCACAGTTATAGTTTCTTCCCCACTGGAATAAGGTTGTCTCTGAGATCTGGCTGGCTTCCATTCTGATAGCATTCCAAAGGGACTTGAAGACTTGCTGTTTTCCTAGACCTGGGCATGAGTGCATGAAGCCCCTTGCTGGATATTGGTTGTATCTGTTCTTTGTGTTGTTGGCAGTATTCAACACCTTTTCTGTTTTAGTTTTATTCTTTCTTTACTTTTCTAATTTATCTTCTATTTTTATTTTGTTTGTTTACATTGCGAGCTATCCAAAAAAACATCCTGGAGTCAGATAGCACCAAATTGAATTTTTATTGATTGATTTATTATTGGTAAGCTCCACCTAATAATGCTAATAACACCACTGATAAAATTACCATCAAAAGGTAATTGCAAAAGGTAGGAAGGATGCATAGAGAAGAAGTGCAAGACAGTAAATATGACAATTTTGGGGGAAAAACATATTTAACTTTTTATAAACAGCTATGGATGAATACATAACCAGTTTAAATAAATAAAGATAATAATGCATTTATAAGCATTTATAAACAAACACAACAGCTAGCCAGCTGGAAGAGGACAATTGGCGCAAAGAAACCCAGAAGTTCTTTGTCTCTACTAAAAACAAAGAGACAACTACCTCCACAGCCTTTAGATTAGCTCAACAACATGCCCTGGAGAACAAGTTCTGAGTAATGTGTATCCCAGAATGTCACTGCCCTTGAGCCTTTTATGGTAAAAAAAAGATAAATATCCATCAGTGGTAACTGGTAGTTATGCTTCTATCCCTCATTCTTGTCTCCAATGACAGACTACCTGAAAACAAATCATTGCAAACAGTCACGTAAGATTGCCTTATCCATTTATTGCATCTTGATCATTTTTGATCTTCCAATAATCTTTTTTTTATTCTTTTACTTTCCTGCAAATACCTAGTTTGCATCAAAATAGGGATGCAGAAAAGCACTGCTCCTTCTATTACAGAATCTATTCTGTACCAGACTGCCATAAATGCTTTTGTAAAATAACTAGAATAATTAGAAAGTAGTTATTTTCTTTTCATGGCCATCTGTGGGCAGAGATGAGAGAAGACACAGAATTATTATGAGGATACTTTATGATTTCCACAAATGCATTTATACCCTGCAACCCAAACAGCAATCCTAAACATCATTTGCCTGCAGAAAAATGCATGAAGTGTTACCACTCTCATTTACTACAGTTGAAACTCTCAATGCAGTTTGGGATGCTGCCTAAAAAGCCCGAATCAGAATTCTTCGGCATTCAATATAGATCTTCACAGTTCATTTCTTTCAGCACACTTCCACTTCCATTTTAACATAGCCATGGCTAAAACTCTGCCTAATCTTAACAATGTCTATTGCAGTTTCTTAACTTGTAATTTAAATAAGCATGTTCCAGAAAACATAATGATTAATTACAATTTGATCTGGTGCACACATTAGATTGCTGTATAGTGTGGGTGGGTGCTGGTATGTATCTGATTGTATGCAGTATATATTATATATAATATTCCTTCCAGTCACTGTTGACTGCTGGCAGCTGTCTGGATTAATTCCTGCTGTTTTCTTGGCAAGATTTTCAGAAGTGATATGCCACTGCCTCCTTCCTAGCAATGGGAAATAATGATTAGTCCAAAGTCAGCAGCTGCCTTCATATCTAGGGTGAGTCTAGAACTCACAGACCCTCAGTTTTTAGCCTGGTGCCTTAACCACTACATCAGATTGGCTTTCATGATGGATATACAGGGTTTGGTTTTCTTGTTTATAAACAATGGGTTGTTGTATATTATTGTTTTACTACTCTAATCCAGTCTTTATTAAGTCAGGATGACCCAGCAACTGTATTTAACCTAAAAAAGGGGAGGGGGGGTAGGCTTAAAGCTCCTAATCCTAGCTGTCCTTAAAAAAAGTCTATGGAGATTCTCAGTCATACTTGCCTCAAAAGTGCTTTTTCAAAAGGCAACTGGACTGTTTTTTGTCCTCGAAGAAGAAGAAAAAAAACAGATTCATCCATAAAGTAAGAAAGTACAGCTGACCTTACATTCAGGGCTAAATTCCAACATCAGGATTTCTTAACAAAACAACCCCATCAATGCAAACTCAAGAAAGACTAATAAAAAAGCTTCCTCAAATCCCCAAACAAAAATATCTTTTTTTCAATGAGGCCTGAAGGTTTCAAGTTCAGTCATAGTAAGGAATCATGGCTTTTTGTATTTCTTTAATGTCTCAGCTGGCAAATCGTTTTGTGCTCTTTAAAATTATAGCTTGCCCAAAGCCTAAGACCAAAACCTAAAGTGTTATTATCATATGGTGGAAATTACAGAGTTTATTTGCTTGCCACTTATAAGTTTATACAACAGATCAAAACCTAATTTAGCAAGCTTGACATTTAATTTATTTATCAATTTACTTGTTTAATACTGAATCTGAGCATTATGCAAAAAATATGAAATGTAAAAAAACCCATTTTCAGTATCTAATGAAGTACATTAAAATTGAAGCCATAATTAAAACCTTGGTCTTTTAAGATATAAAAAGTTTGTTACTTTTGCAGCAATACATGGCAACACATTCTAGCTTTTCTTTAATTACACAGAAATATGATTGCATTATAGTTATCACATTAATTTCTAATAGTTAATTCTAATGATTGATGTATACTGTAAGTTTTCTTAGTAAATAAATTCTGCCTGTTATACAATAGTTGCTCCACTTTTCCCCCTTCCAATAGAAAATTTTAATTGGACCAAGATCTGGTCACAAATTTATTAATACATTTACAATAGTTGAGGGTAGAATACTATAAGTGAAGTTTCATTTAGCACAAATGTTGTTTATACCTTGAAGCATGAGTAAAATGCTCATATGCTATATAATCATATCCTGTTTCATGATTTATGGTTCTGTCCTACTTCATTGGTTTATTTTATATACCTAGTCAAAGTAAAAAAAAAAGTTAATCAGATGCTGAATGAAATGCTGTTAACCACCACAAACCTGAAAATTAAAATTAATGAATTTTGCTTTCAACATCTATACCTGAAAAATAAGTCAACTACATCTGCCTTCAGTATAGAGACTCTGAGCTCAACAAGGAACATTTCTTTATCTACAACAATCACCCTGAAATCTAAGAGACTTCAACCCTATCAAAGGTCTAGTGAAGTATTTTGAAATTATATCATTCTCTTTTAAGGAATTGCAATTCTACCCTCCAATATCAGCCTTCATAGCCATCTACCTATGTCCTGTAAAACAGGACATATGAAAATGAGCGATAAAGTTTTTATAATGGCATGCTGATCAGCATTCCATGCACTAAGGCATGGATACTGATACGTATTGTGATGTATCACGATGTTTTTTGCCTTTGCAAAGCCGGGATAAGTGTGACCTGCGTGTGATGCATCTGGCCGCCATTTTGACACCCCTGCACTAAGGACTCTATATGATGATGATGAATTATTGAAAACCCCCAGCATTTAGCAGTGTCATTTCCATTTCTCATTTAATAGTCAGATGCAAAGGAAAGTGACATAGCAAGATCATGAGCAGAAAGAGATCTTTCCATGGGGTTATTTGAGAGCTGATGTACATAGAGCATGGCTGTCTGCTGGCTGATTGGCATTACTTGCTAGTACAAAGAAGAACAAACAGGATTCGTTTTACTTATTCAACACACATCCCACACATACAAGTTCTGTCAACTCACGGGACTGTGTTGCATGTAAGGACCCTGTTTCAAAAGTGGGAGAAGTCATGTAGAAAGTGGATGGGGCAACTTTAATTATTTACTTTATTATTAAATTGTATGATTTTATAGGGGGTTGATATTAGCTATAAAAATAAATGACATTTTTTATCAAAAAATATTTTGACACTGAGTTCTGCTGATCCGGGCTGATCCCACAAAAGCCAAGCAGAATCCAACATAGTTAATATTGGTTAGGAGAAACCATAAAATCCCAAGGCAGTGGGCCAAAATGGAAGTCAATGAAATACCTCAGAAGAAGGCAGTGACAAATCTTTTGCCTTACTGCCAAGAAATGACTATGTAGCCACCAGGAATCAGTCCTGACTCCCAGAGAAAATCTTTATTTATTTTATATTTGTTTATTTTATTCAAAAATGCTTTTTATATTTCTTCAGCAGAGCAAAAAAAACCACATACGAATAAAGGAAAACACCAGATTAAGCGGGACCAACATTTTCAACTATATTTTTCAGGGTGTGCATGAATTAATTGATGAAACAGATCCCTTTTTCCTATTCAAAATTCCTCCCAAAGGGAAAAAGAGTGTCTCATTGGGGGGGGGGGGAGAGTGAGAATTAAGTT